AAGATTATACTATGTTAGTTCTTTTTGGCTAATATTATTATATTTAAAATCCTTCTTTCTTGAAATATTTTTTATTGCATGTAATATAATTATATTTAAAGTTGTTTTTCTTGAGATACTAAGGTTTATTGCAAGTAACATTATATTTAAAATAGTTTTTCTTGAAACATTAATGTTTATTGCATTGAACATTATTACACTTAAAATCATTTTTCTTGAAAAATAAAAGAGTTGGGGGTGGGGGGAGACAAAAAACAAAAAAACAAATTCCTGCAATTGCCAGAGAGGGTTGGGGAATGAACTTATATGTCCGCAATTCAAAAGTCCTATGATAAAAGCAATACCTGGAGACTCAAAGTTCTTTTTCTAAAATAACTTTTGTTGCTTTTTCCCACGATATAAGTAACATATATTCCCTACAGAAAATCTGAAAATACCGAAAAGCATCAAGAAATAAAACAAAATAAAAACAGTCTGTACTCCCTCCACCACAAGCTAATGACTATTTTCATTTTGGAGTATTTGCTTCTATTCTTTGTTTTCTCCCACACAAACCTCTTACTTATTATTTTACAAAATTATTTATAGCACTCTCTCTATAGTAAAACATACTGCAATTTTCACTTGTATCTTTAAATGACCTTAAATATAACAAAAGCATAAATGTCAATTTCTACATTCTAACTCAGACCTCATATTTATTTAGTGAAACCTGTATTGTTAAACACTTAAATTGTTACTCATTTTTCAGCACTGTAATTAACAACTGGAAATCATTGCAAATACGTAAAGCATACATTTTAATACTGACATAATGTTCTACTGTATGCATGCCTCATACACGTTAACTAAACTCCATTTTGAACACTTAGGTTGCTACCAACTTTTCACTATTATAATTAACAACTAACAGCCATTATGGGACAGTACAGTGTCTTTCCAAAGTATATGTTACAGATTATGAGTTTTACAGGATATTGAAAGATATTACAAAAAATGTTTACAACAGCATTGTTAGGAGCAAAAAAACTAAAAAGTCAAAATTCACTAATAGAATGGGTAGTCTCCTATTCTACTGTTCTAGTATGGTATAGTCACGTAATGAAATGTTATAGGGTAGTATAAATGAACTCTGGCTGTTTGCATCAATTTGGCTGAATACAAAAGTCTGACATTGAGCAAAAACAAAACAAAACAAACAACACACACACACACCCCCAAAACAAAAAACAAATCACAGAACATAAAATTTAAAAACAGGCAAAACCAAATGACGTACTGTCTAGGGATACACGTGATTGGTAAAATATATACAGAAAATACAGGCACATTCAGTTCTGATAGAAGAAAGGAAATGTGTATAGTAAAAGAAGACACATTAAAAAGCTCCTCTGCCGAAACGGTTTGGCTCAGTGGATAGAGCGTCAGCCTGGCCTGCGGACTGAGGGGTCCCAGGTTCGATTCCGGTCAAGGGCATATACCTTGGTTACGGGCACATCCCCAGTGGGGGGCGTGCAAGAGGCAGCTGATCGATGTTTCTCTCTCATCTATGTTTCTGGCTTTCTATCCCTCTCCCTTCTTCTCTGTAAAAAATCAATAAAAATATATTAAAAACAAACAAACAAGGGTCTTGTTGGCATTTAAATGTAGAAACCACATAATATGTGGAAAGGCGATTTCTTTGCTACTGGGCTTTTAGAGTGTCTGGTTTGCCAATATGCCTTGGGACTCATCAAGAAGGGGCTACGGGACGTAGCCTTACCCACACTCACGGGGCCAGAGCGCCTTTGCCAGGCACCTTACGGGACCATTTTCTGGACACCGTCTGAAAAGCACTGCTCTCCCCCTTTGGTCTCCGTGTTTACCTCTCTCTTCAAAATGAGTCTCTAGAAGAAAGTCCGTGACCATCTAAAAGGTTCTTGTCTAAATTGCTCACTCGCCCTCCAGAAAGGGCAGACCCACTGACACTTAGAAAGCACCCATTTCCTTGCATCCTCCGTAACACTGGGTAGTACCACTCACTGATCTCTGGTAGGTGAAAATGTAATCTTGTGGTAGTTAAAACTTGCATTACTTTCATGACAAATGGAGTCAAACATGTGAAAATGTTTCTTGGTCCTGGCCGGTGTGGCTCAGTGGACAGAGTGCCAGCCTGTGCACAGAAGGGTCGCAGGTTCAATTCCCAATCAAGGGCACATCCTGGGGTTGCAGGTTCGAATCCGTCAGGGTGTCTGCAGGAGGCAACCAATCGATGTGTCTCTCTCACATCAATGTTTCTGTCCCCTCCTCCACCCCTCCTTCTCCTCCCTTCCACTCTCTGGAAAAAAAAATATATCTTCAGGTTGAGGATTAACAAGAAATAAAAAATAAAAAAAAATGTTTATTAGTGAATTTCTTCTTGCGATTCACTTTTTCAGATATACCTACTAGAGAACTATCTTTAAATTCTAGATCTCTACATCTCCATATTCATGACAGTGGCTCATCTTTTAAAATAAGCAGCTCCCAAAAGGAAGGTCTCGACATGTGGAGGGAATGTTACTTGCGAAACTTGGGCACGTTATTCCTGTCCCCCAGGGGAGAGGTGGAGAGAGTGTCCGTACAACCAGTTAGAAGGTGAATGAGCTTTCAAATATCTAATAACTTCACTCCATTTCAATTTATTAGCAAATCCTTCTTAGCAAGATTTCTCCAAGGGTAATGTTAGAAGGTGATCTACAGCCCCTGCAAATCAGGGATTTGCAGAAATCAATCCCTACTTGCTTCGCTCAGACCTTTTTGGTGACTCGAGGGGCCGAGCACACTGGGTACTCAGAAGAGAGAGATGCACATCTCACCGGGGACCCTTTCAACACAGAGAATGTTGTTAGATTATTAGCTTTACTAATCACACCAAGAGTGTAGGTGTGATTAGTAAATCATTTGCCTCCCGCTTCAGCGGAGGCAAATCCCATGCCACTGTCCTCTGAGCGATTTCCTTTCTGCTGTTTGGAGAAGTGTGAATTACAGGGCTTACACAGAACCCACTGAGGGGGAATCACCAGCCAGGCACTGCGAAATTAACCAGCGAAATTAACTGTCTCCCTTTACCTCAGGGCCAGGCTGTCACAGGCCACAGAGACCTTTAGAAACAAAGCCACATCCAACAGGACAAGGGACCGAAGTCACCCACTGTGAACGAGAGGCCTGGAGTCGCCCTCAGGGGCACAGCTGACTCCACAGGAGAGGGGCTCTTTGTACTCACAAGACTGCCTGGGGCATGATCTGCAGACAGATTGTGGTCATGCCTGTAACTTCCTTTCAAACGCTTTCTCGCTGCTTCTTCATAGACAGTGCGATGCCATGCATGTATGTTTGGGTTTACTTACACCCACCGAGTGGTAAATTGACAATCAGGAGTTCGCACCCCAGGGCAGTGGGCTAGATTCCAACTGGGAATTCCACTTGGGAGGCAGCCACCGGGAGTGCCCTTCTGTAATGTGTTATCTTGCTCATTAACGAAGGTTAGAAATGGGTTCTCCTTTGATGAAATTAGGGCTATGCAAGACATGTGGATGGCTAGAATACGCTAGAGACAGTCTCACTCTTGCTTGAACCAGGTAAAGAATCTAGAGGCTTAGAGTCCCATTTTGGGGATGGCTACTGTCTGCCCTTAGGGTCCCGAGGAGCAAACTCGGAAGAGTTGAGTGTTTATAGTTTATTTGAGAGATGAAAAAAACTGGCGGGAAAATGAGCAGGTGATGGGAGGGGGTGGGGGGGGAGGGAGCTTAAAAGGCTGTGTTATTAAACCAGTCACCACAGTGGGTAATGAAAGCTTAATTCTGTGGGAAAGCTCTGGAAGTGATGGAAAGGATACATTTCCGAATTCTCCTAGCTAAGAGACCAGGGAGCTGGGGTATTTATCCCCCCACCCCACTGGTTAATTAATCCCCAGGCACTTCCGGCCGCCATGGTGTGGGCTACGTGGGTTCCTGCCTCTCAAGAGCAATCCTTCCGTCAAGGTTCAGAGGGGGCTGCTGGCACTGAGAGAAACGGAAAGGGGATCTGGGCAGAGCACCAACAGCGTCTGCTATGGCTCCTTAGCCTAAATCCCAGTGTGGCCACGTGGCCGTTATAAGCCTGCAAGGCTCTACTTGTCCAAACGGACTAAAAAAGGAAAACAGAACCCGGCCCCTGGAATGCCAATGGGTGATCTGCCATTCACAGCGGTGGTGGTGAGAGGGCCTGGGAGTCCCGAGAGCTGGGACTTCATCCAGCCCACAGAACAGGTTGCTGAGTAGCCTGTGCCTGCTTCCTTACAACTGTTGAATAAACATCTGCATGCGTGCAGCATCTGTTCCGAAACCTCCTTTCCTTATCATCTAGTAGTGAGAGTAGCTAACTCTCACCCGTCATTTTGATGTTATGACCCCTGACCCCGCACCCTGAGAGCAGCGCTGATTAAATGGCTCGGTCCGTCTGCAGTGTCCCTGCTCCTCTGCACGCAGCATGATGATTTAGTCTCAGGCAGCACATCCCTCCTCCCCCAGGTACGAGAAGACCCCAGAGGCTTCGTGCACACCCACCTGCACGGTGTAGCTTCCCAGGGTGGTGGCCCGTTTGAACCGCCGGCCTTGCTGCTGGGACATCATGAACAGCTGGGCCAGGCGCTGCTCCATGACCCGGGCGAAGCTCTGGTTGTGCAGACCCACCAGCGAATTGTCCACGCCCTGCAGCACTGCGGGTGCAGAAGGCAGAGGGCTGCTCAGCGGACAGGCTCCCTGCTGACTCAGAACCACAACCCCCGCCACCCCTGCCCCAGCCACAGGGCGCCATGGGCCCTACCTCATGTGAGGGCTTGGCCATCCTGACCTCGCTTGGCCCTCACAACAGCCCCAGGAGGTAGGAATCGCTATCCACATGTTATTATAGATGCTGGAAGGTTAAGTGGCTTGTCAAGGTCACACCTAGTAACTAGGAAAGTGAGGGTTCAAACCCAGACAAAGCCTGGACTCTCTCCTCCATGGGCTGAGACACGTCTAACGCTGCTGTGGTAAATCCAAACCTTATTGAAGATTACGTGTTGTTAGAGTTCATACGGGAACACAGCCTAGATACAGGTCTGGCTAACTGGATTTTCCACTGGTTCCCACTCAGAAACTTGGGCTCCGGGCTACCCTTATTTTATTTTTCCTCCTCAATAGCTTTGTGAGGAATCTCAGCTCCATCCTTCACATCGGCCCTTTACAACCCGGCAAACCACCCCGTTCTATGTCCTCATCTCTCCCTCCTGTGTGGTCACTTTGCGAGCCACCCCAAAGCTGCCCCAGGCCCTCTGGGTAACTTTCCATCTGAGAGCAGGACAGTGGGACAGAAAGAGCAAGCTCTTGCCAGTGTGAAACTTTCAGCAAGCAACTGGCCCTGCCTGCGTCCAAGTCCTCTTCTGTAGAAAGGGCGTAAGTCCACATCACAGCAAAGATATTCCTAAAGAGATCTATGGGTGAAATGAGACCAGGTGTACAGGGAGCTTAGCACAGTGCCCAGCGCAAGGAAGGCACACGAAGCTCCTCTTGCCATTGTCCTCCGCGGCGGAGCTTCATCTACTCCAGGGCATCTGCAATCAACAGGCAAGGCGTCGGTGATGGAATTCCAGGCAGTGGCTGGTGCATGGGGAAGGATTTTAATGAACACCAGGACTAGGACTGCCGTGGCCACTTACTATGGGAGTGGCTGATGGTCTTTTGCTGTCAACCCCCAAATCTAGTCTTTCCTCCAAGTCCCTTGGGAAGCACACTTCATCCCAAACACACAACACTGCCTTCAAACACAGCCATCCTGGAAATTTAAAAAATGCTAAAAACAATCCTTATCTTAAAGAAACCAAAACTTACATGGGCTGGGGAGTTCGATCTACCACGATCCAGTTAAGGACCATTGATGGCAGCCATCTACTGGGATATGGACACAGCTTGGGTATAAAGAACATGCCGTTATGATCGCATTCTGCTCAGGGCCAGAACACGCAACGGACACTGAGATACAGAGAATTATTTTTAACTGATTGAGAGGGAAGTAAAGCCCACAGCTGAGTCTCAGAAATTACTTCTTTGAGGTCAAAAATACCGAATAATCCCCATGGAGGGCATAAAGCAGCTCTCTTTCTAGGGCCCTTGTGAGGGACTCCCAGCTCAGCTGTCAGTGGAATTCCTGCCAACAAAGAGAAAAGGCTCAGGTGCTGTTCCCACTGGGGCAGGCCCCGCAGAGGCCCCTGGGAATGCCCCCGACACAGCCTACCCCCGGGCCCCAGGCAGAAGAGGCCCTGCTCTTGCCGATTCAGAGCTGCCTCTCTAGTAAAATGTCATAATCAACCGCTGAAGGATTACTTCGGAGTTGGCCTCTCCTGACCAATGGGCAGAGCAGGAGAGAGGACACAGGACACGGAGGACTTCATCATGGGGTGATTACTTTGTGAGAATCCCAGGGACCTCAAAGAAAGGGATAGCCAGGTGATGAAAAAGCTCCAGAAGTAGATAGCAGTGACGGTGGTACAACACTGTGAAAGTACTTAATGCCACTGAATTGTACATTTAAAAATGGCCAAAATGGAAATGTTCGTGTTGTGTGTATTTTATCACAATTGTAAAAGTTGTGTGTGTGTGTGGGGGGCGGGGGGTCCAGGGAAGTGTAGGAGGTTGTGGGAACCTCCCACAGGGTTACATGGAACCAGCACCTGGACAGCTCCCAGTACCTCCTTGTTCTATGTGTAAAGAGATTATGTCCTTAGGAGGCAGCTGGGCCTAAAGTTCCAATGATCAGGCCTGGTTCATCTTCCTGTATTCGATTGGAACTGTTTTACTGGTGGTTGAATCCGACACGTTCAGAGCCAAAAGGACATAAATGTTCATCTCATATCTTCTGATTCTAAGGGTGAGAGTGTGACACCCACAGGGTCTGAGTGACTGACTCAAGGACACACTCAGTTCATATGTAGCAGAGCTGAGGCCAGAAGAAACCCTGAAATTGTCCCAAGACTGGTTTCGCCCCCCTTCCTCGCCCCTCCCCCCAACCCCGCAAGCACTAACTGATCCAACTGCCTCAAACACTGTGATGGAGGCCACTGCTTCTTCTGATCTCCAACAGCCACAGCAGCAATAAGAAATGAGGGTTACCTAGGTAAGGGGGACAGGCGTTAGGTCCTAGGAGGATCCTGGGAACAAGACCATGTGTGGAGTTCCTTATTAAGGTTATGTCACTACAGTAGAGGCACAGGCACACGAGGGCAGGCTGAAACAGGAGGTCGTCTCGGACATGCAGTATTCAAGAGTGGACGTGCTACCATTCAATGTAAACCTTAAGGTTAACAGAAGGGGGCAAACCTCTGCAAATTAAAAAGCAGCGTTTCTGGTGGAGAAAAAAATGATTTTGTAAATGTTACATAACCTGCTGGTTTGGACAATGTGTTGCTGGGGTAGCATTGTCTCTCTCTTGGGCATAAACTCTGGTGAGGTTTATTTTTTAAATTTTTAAACACATTTCTTTAGTTTGACTTAGCAGGTAAAAAAAAAAATCTCTGCATTTCCACGGCTCCGCAGGAGAGAAAAAAAAGCAATTTTCTACAATTTAGGAGAGGTCTTGAGCAGGCCCCCTCGTAGGGCTGTGCTCCTGTGTCCGTGGGTAGGCAGTGGCCCATCTCACTTGCGCAGTGCATGAGGGAGGAGAAGGGAGGGAGGAAGTGGGTTTTAGATGGGCTTGCTCGCCCAGGCACATCTTCCATGACTTACAGAATCTCCCTCCCTCCTTGTTATGGGCGGGACTGTTTCCTCCCAAAATTCAGGTGCCGAAGGCCTAACCCCCAGACCCTCAGAATGTGACTGTATTTGGAGGCAGGTCCTTTAAAGAGGGAATTGAGGTAAAATGAGATCATATAAGTGGACCCTAATCCACTATGACTGTGTCCTTATAAGAAGAGGAAATCAGGACACAGACACACACAGAGGGAGGACCACGTGAAGGCACAGAGGAAAGACGCCCATCTGCAAGCCAAGGAGAGAGGCCTCCGGAGAAACCAACCCTGCTGGTACCTTGATCTCGGACTTCCAGCCTCTAGAATCGTTGAAGCCCGCACCCACCCCAGTCTGGGGGCCTTTCCACGGCAGCCCTAGCAGACCACCACCTCCCCTCCTGGCCCTTCCGTTTATAGCTGGCCTGGTCACTGTCCCTCCTATAACACCTGCCTTCTCTCTTTGCTGCCAATCCTCGCTTCTTGGCTTTTCAGAACTACTGTCAGGCTTTTGAAAAACAAGAACTGTTTTTGCTGTTTTGTAAAGCTCAGCTGGGAAATGTCAAGGGAGAAAAGAAAATGCCACCCAAACACCCTTCTACTTCCACCCACCCTCCCTGTCAGGACACGCCTGGGCTCCGCAGGATTGGTGTGGGCGTGGGCCTCGTGCCCGGGGAGAGAGGACAGTGCACGTTGGCATTCCCCTGACGCCCACTGGCATTCTGTAGGGCAGTGCAGAAAGGCCTACAGTCTTGACACAGACAACCATTCACATGGACACGCCCTGGGCATCCACAGGTAAATGCTGTTCCTTCCGATCGGTCCACTTTCTGCAGAGGGGGCCACTAGCTGGGCCTTGCAGCTTGCTATTTTGAATGGCCTATCTAATGCTCACCTTCAGGGTGATGTGTGTGTGTGTGTGTGTGTGTGTGTGTGTGTGTGTGTGTTTTCTCGTTTCAGCTTACTCTGAAGCCCCCACCCACCCCAGTCTGGGGGCCTTTCCACGGCAGCCCTAGCAGACCACCACCTTCCCGCCCGGCCCTTCCGTTTATGGCTGGCCTGCTCACTTTCCCTCCTATAACACCTGCCTTCTCTCTTTGTTGCCAATCCTCGCTTCTTGGCTTTTCAGAACTGCTGTCTGGCTTTTGAAAAACAAGAACCCACGCCTGGTTCTGTGAAAGTAACTCCCTGACTCACAGGACAGGACCAAAAAAAGGATGCCAATCCCTTCACCGAGTAACATGCAGTTTTAATTTTTTAGTTTTTTTTCTTTCTTTTTGACATGCAGCTTAAAACAAAACAAAATAACAACAAAAACCAACCAACCAACTTGATAGGGTGAAAGGGGCAATAAAATAAGAGATTACCTGTAATTACCCAATAGTCTCTGGTTGTCTCCGATATGTCAAGGTTGGGATATTCCAGCGCTAAGACAAGTAAGAAACACACCAAATTACTTTCACGAGTTTATATGTCAACACTGTGACGGGACATGGACATAGGCGAGTCCTGCTTTATCATCTGTAGGAGTTCTATGACATACAGGCCCGAACGGCCTTGCTGTTCAGAAATCGAAAATGCTCAGTAAAGAGCTCACTTTCAGATGAAGAGCTTCTTAGGGTTTGTGGAGTTCTGCTTTTTTAGTTTTTCCATCAAAACCTCTTAAGTGGAACCTGTCTTAACTGGAGCCTTTTCTTGTAAAATATCCAACCGGCACTACCATTTTTAGGAACAATTCACTCTCGCATGTATTTTTCCAATGTCAAGGGCTAAGTTTAGCAGCCAAATGCTGGTTAACTAACATCTTTTGACAGGTGCAGTGACCATCAGCGTTAATACATGTAAAGGGCTTAGCACAGCGTGGCACACAGTAAGTGTTCAGCAAACCTTAGCTGTTGTGGATTATCAAAATATCAAAATGAAAGAAAACGAATTCTTCACTTGCTGCCAGGTGACATGATGCCTTCCTTTATGACACCACCTTTTCCATTAAATCCAGTTATCTTTCCTCACTGCGCGGAAATTCACAAAAGCTTGCTATTAAGGAAACGTTAAAAAAAATTCAGAATGGCTATCTTGTGCTAAAGGAAGCTTGCTATTAAAGAAACGTTAAAAAAAAAAATTCAGAATGGCTATCTTGTGCTAAAGCATAGCCACACACATCCTCTCCTTTGTTTACAGAATCAAAAGCAACCACGGAAGGACATAGAAAGGATTTTGCTAATATCTATACTAATACAAGCAAAATATGCTAATTAGACCGGACATCCTTCCTGATGACCTTCCGGATGAAGCCGGGGCTGCAAGGGAAGCCCAGTCCTGGGTGCCAGAGGGAAGCTGGTGCCAGCACCTGGGGGGAGGAAGGCCTCTAGTGTGTTTTATAAAACGCTTACTCAGTGACCTTGGGAAAGGATCAATCTTTAGATTTAAGAGCACAAATCTTTACTTCCTTTGGGTACAAGTAAGTGTCTGGAGACAGAATTGTGGCCGCATTGTCTTCGAAGTCTTACGCCTGCTGCCTGGTGGTGAAGATTATGTAACTGAGGCATTAACGGAAGACGAGGCCACAGGGCTATCTGCTCTTCATCAAGGGAAGTCAGGATGCTGATGGCAAATTAGCTGCACTGATATCTATAGCCAGGGCCAGGGCTGACGGCCCCAGGAAATTTGCTGATGGTAAAAGCGGGGGAAATTATAGCAATCCATATCGCTGCAAGGGCAAGTGTCCTACCAGGCGGGCTTATAAACTCAGAGGCAGACTGCTTGGGTTCAAATTCCATGTCTGACCAGCCGTGTAAGTGTGGGCGCTTTATTAAACTGAACAGACTTAGTTTTCTTATCTGCAAAATGGTGCACCTACCTCAAAAGGTGGTTGTAAGGAGTAAATGAGATAAGAGGTATGTGAAGAGCAAAGGCATCCAGCAAGTGCTTTTTTTTCGATGTACAATAATAAATTTGTCATCAATTCTATCTCCGTGTTATCACATATTCCAGTTGTTTCATGACAAAGGATTTAGTATGTAGCCTGGCACCATGGACGTTGGCACAATGGAGAAAGGCCCCCGGGGAAACCGGCAGAGTCCCAGCGTGACGGGGACATACTCACGTTCAGCAATGGTGAGCGGCGGGTAGGTGAGGTAGAACCCCACCAGCTCAGCTGAGAGCTGGCGGAGGAGGCTGCTGGCGACGGTGCCATTGAGGAAAGAGCTCCGGTTGGCCACCACGTACACCAAGGTGACAGTCTGGGAGGCGTTGGACGTGCTCACAATCTGAATCGATACAGGAGGAAAGGGGAGGGAGACATGCCAAATAAGATGAGGGCCTGTTTCACGGAGGCCGTGGGAGAAGACGTTTCAGCAGAAGTTGAGGGTAGGACTGAAAGGGAGGTGGGAAAAGAGTGAGGAAGAGACAAGAATAACAGCGGTCGTCACTCACTGATTGTGGGCATCGAGCGAAGGGCACCTTATTTCATTTAACCCTCACCACCATCCCGGGAGGCGTATCTAATTAGGATTCCCTTTTACAGAGGAGGAAACTGAGGCCCGGAAGGGGCAGGGGGCTTGCCCAAGGTCACACAGCTAAGAAGTGACAGAGCCAGGATTCAAACCTAGGCAGTCTTTCAGGTTCTAACCCCTGCTGTGTATTTTCCCCAGGGGCTAGATTGTCTCACTTCTACAGCACGGATATGTTCAATTTAAGGAGGACTCACATGCTCAGATAGAAAACGCTCAAGTAACATTTGGGGGGAATTTTTAAGTTGGAAGAACAGGGAATGTACAGGCCTAGTAACAAACAGGGACTGAACCCGATTACACAGAAATTCAGAAACATCAACAGCTTCTTTAGAGAGTGATTGCATTTCCTTGTGGCCTATGAGTTCAATATAGAACATGCAAATATAAGTATGAGATGGTGTGTTTTTCTTCTCGCATTTTGTCTAAGTCGGTTTTTTTGTTACTGGAAAACGAGGTTTTCTGGGTCAGGGTATGGACAAAAATATCCCACAGATGAGATTTGAAAAACAGATGCAGTAGGAAGTCATTCCACTTGGTGAGACAGCCTTTTTCTGCTCCTTCCTCCTCCCCATCCACTTGCCACCCAACTTGTCCTGCTCAGCACCCTCACAGGCAGGCCCTTGTGGGCCAGACCACCCCAGTGGGCTCCTTTGCCCTCTGGCTTCAGCTAAAGGGAGGTCAGGGCTTGGTTGGGTAGCTCAGTTGGTTGGAACATCATCCCATGCCCCAAAAGGTTGCAGGTTCAATTCCCTGTCAGGGCACATATGGGAGGCAACCAATCAATGTTTCTCTCACATCAATGCTTCTCTCTCTTCCTCTCTCCCTTCCTCTCTTTCTCAAAAAAAAAAAAAAAATCAATAAAAAACATATCCTCTGGTGAGAATTTTTTTTTTTAAGGGAGATCAGGAGGATGTGGAGAGAGGGAGAATGAGGTCAGAGCATTGGTGTTGGGGACTCCATCCCTGTGGGATCAAAGCTCCTGTTAGGCAACTCAAGCCTCTGACTTCCTGTAACTGTTCCTTTCCCTGCCCCCTCAGCCCTAACTGTTCCTGTTTCGGGTACTGCACCGTCTCTGTGGTTTCCCTAGTGCCTGCCCAGGCTTCTGCAAAGGGTCCCTTCTATTGAACTCTCCTCAAATTGTCTTCATTTGAGTGTGCCCTTTCTTCCTGCCAGGGGCCGGCTGCTCTCTGTCTTTCCCAGGCCTCTGTGTGCTCAGACATACATATGTCTGCAACTTTCCTTTTAACCTTACTTTGAAGAAGACGGTCAAGAATATCTTCTTCACGTTATTTCCCACCTTTCCCCATGCATGGAAGTTCCTTTTAAATTCTCTTATATAGTCACGGAGTACATAATACAGTCCCATCATTAATGACCTAGAGAGTCCACATTGCTGGTCAACTCTTACAACTCTCCTCTCTGCGAAGTGTTTTTAGAATGTGGTTTTAGCCACAGGTATTTATGCCTTGTTCTCAACTTACTAAAAAGAAAGCCACTTCTTTCTCAACAATTCAAAAGACCTCACTGTACTGTGACCCATAAAAGTAATTACTAAAATAACTTTACAGCCTTTATCTCCAACCTTTATCTCTATTGTGAAAATTTTATTTTCCGTTTTTCAACAAAACCTACTGCAGGGTCCCCAACAGCCTGCAGTAGGGGTTCCTCTGTGCACACTGTACTTGACCAGGTGATTATGAGACCGTTACAATAAGCTGTTTATTAGTAACAGGAAAGGAGTAAAAGGGAGGCTAGAAAATATAGGCATCCCATGTATGCAGCATTGCCAGAAAGCTGCAATTAACATTCTCCAAGTCTATCCCCTGCAGATTGCTGGGGAAGGGACTGGACAATAGACGCATGCCCAGTAAGGTCTGGGTGCCGTGGGAAGGTGTTTACCTGTCAGTCACACCTGGGAACAAGTAGTGGCTGGAATAGGCATGGCCACTGCAAGCTGGAGAAGATTTGCTACTTAGGCTCCTGAACAAAGGAGCCTTCCCGCGCCCCCTCCGCCCCCTCCCCC